AGATTAGCTTTTCTCCCAAAGGTTAATTCAAAAGGTGTGTGGCCAGTTCCTTCATGAACTACTGTATTGTAACCGAAACATATGAGATTTAGAATTTCGTCTCATTCCTTCTTGTCTTTCTTTTGCACAAGTTGCAAATTCTTTTGCACTTTCACCCTCTGAGGGTGAAAGCTAGTATGTTTCATCTGGAATGCTTTTTCAAAGTTTTGCATAAGGTTTGAGATAAAATTAGAACCTTGATCCGTTAGAATTTGTTTAGATGCCAAAAATATGTATATATTACGTCTACCGGAAAGTTCTGTCCGTTTTTTAATTGAAATATAACACAACTTTCATACATTTAATAATATTTATCGTAGAATATACTTTCCATCGTTACTTATGACTTCTTGCCAGCGTGATGGCAACTTGTAAATGCCATTTTTTAAAAATGATTTATTTTTAGAGGCGAAGAACTCAACTAGTGCTTGGTTGACATCAGCTTCAGTATTGAATTTTTTTCCTGTAAAAAGTTTTGCAAAGAGAGAAACAATTGATAATCGGAGGGTGCTAGGTCTGTGGAGTACGGTGGATGTGACAGAATTTCCCAGCCTAGCTCTGCGATTTTCCGACGAGTCGCCAAAGCAGCATGTGGTCTGGCATTATCATCGGTAGCCATGTTTTCACGATCGCGTCTTGCTTAATAATGACACGAGACATCTATGTTTCAGTTGATTTAGGAGGGTACATGTGTGTAAATGCAACGATAAAGAGAGATAGTCATATATGTCTCAAATCAACATGTGCATATGGATTGAAACTTGAAGTGACACTATCGGACAGAACTTTCCGGTAGACTTAATATAATGTTCAATCAGTTTATTGATTATTGATTCAACTCGTTGATCCTTCAGTGGAATGAGAATCAGGTATTTCGTAAGGACGTCTTGGATTGATAAAATTACCCTTAGTGATTATTGGCAATGGACCAAAGATGTCCATTGCAATTTTGTCGTTTGGGAATTTGGATGTTTCGGAGACATACGCTTGTTCCCGATGTCTGAGTCTGTTCAATTTTTCCTTTTGACAATAAATACATTATAAAATCTTACATTATAAAAAGTTTTTCTCAATAATACTTTATCTCTCCGAAATGTTGAGCTCTATTCCCATTGTGGCTTTTTTTTAGAACGGTTAATTTTATTTTTGGTGTTATCCCAATGACTGGTTCTGGGGCAAATATGTACATCTTATTCGGATTTTGGGGGTGGCTGTGTACTTTATTATTTTCCTAAACATTTCCTTGTCGCTAAAGTTTGATGTTTCTAGTCCTACTTTATTATGTTTACCGAGGATAGTACTTAGTGTCGAAAGTGCTCGTCTTTTGTTTTTTGGTATTGAGAAAATTTGGAAAAATTCTTTTCGATTGGGAGTTTCCGGCGTGTCTTGGTATAACAAGTAGTCGTCATATTCTGATATTGAAGTCGAATCATCTGTCATTTCTTCACTTCCCGCAGTTTCAGTATCACTGTTATTCGTAGCGTCGGTAATCTGAGTCCTTGTTGGTATCGTTTCGTTCGGTGCGTTTATCAATTCGTTAGCTAAGTCGTTTAGTTGGTCTCCTGCCATTTCTCCTAGCATTACATGTATTCGCGATAGTGCATCTGCTGTAATCGTACTCTTCTAAATCTAAATCTCCACCTGATAAGTCTTGATGACGGGTCTTTAACGTTATGTAGCCATTTAAGGGGTTGACGGTCTATTCTAATTTTGAATTTCCTTTTTGGTAGTTATACAGGGTGTTCCACAATTATTTTAACAGCCGAAAATGAGGGGTAGCTGAGGTCATTTGAAGTAACTTTTTCCTTTGCGAAAATGCAATCTGCGGCTTTGTTTACGAGTTATTAACGAAAAACAGAGACCAATGAGAGGCGAGGACGCGAAGTTCGAGAGCCCGCAGCACGTGACTTTAGCAGAAGGTCGCGACGCATTCGGGCGGCGTTCAAAATATCGAACAAGTTGCGAAGCATGAAATTACCGGATTTTTTTTACTACGTAACAGTGATATTTTTAAGAAAACCGCTGTTCACCTTTACTTTAGAACGTCTAAAGAATATTTACTAATTTTTCGGAGCCAATTAGTAAGTAGGTTAACCGTGACCGAACCATTTTAATTATTAATTGAGCGAATTACAATGAAGATTAACGATAAGAAATCCCGTCAGAACCACGCAAAAAATATTTTTGTATCAATAATTCCGTATCCAAACAGAATTCAACGAACGATTCGCAAAGCTAATTCAATAATAAATCGCGTCAAAGAACATGAGGGATGTGTTTATTTAAGAATTGTGAAGAATATGATTAATAGTAAACTTACCCACTGGAGGATGCATTTGCTGCTTGGAAATGTAGATCACGGCTGAATTCTGCGCGAGGCTATTTCTCTGGACGGCAGAGTCTGATATGTACTGTACAGAGTCTGATACTGTATATTCTGCCTGTATGTACAGGGTGTCCCAAAAATGTCTCGCAATCCGAAAGTGGCGGGTTCCTTGGGCCATTTGAAGCAACTTTTTCCTTTACAAAAATTTTCTCCGAGACACCGTTAACGAGTTATTATCGAAAAACAGTGACCAATGAGAAGCGAGCTCAGCTGGCGCGAGGTGATCGAGCCAATGAGCGGAACTGGGCTTCGCGCGCTGGTTGGCTGGGCCGCCTCGCGTCAGCCGTACTCGATT